ACACTCGATAGTGTGGAGACAAGAGGTCCCGTTTATTTCACAGAAACAGCTCTTTTTAAAGGCAGGCCAACAGGAAGCATCAAGCAACTATTAGGGAGATCAGATCTTTGGCTGTCCGAGTTCCTCCCATCACAAGGTCAAATTTAACAAAGTCCTTGAGCTGGACGTGGTGGTGCACTCCCATAATCCCATAAAACCAGCCTGGATTACACAGTGAGCTCCAGGTCATTGCCCATAATCCCAGCCTGGACTACACAGTGAGTTCAAGGTTAATCCCATCTGCACTGCTGGGACCCTTGTCTCAGAAATGCCAAATAAACAAACAGATAGAGTCATGGATTAAGAAGTTACTTTTCCAATGTCAAATGCCAGCGGGCTCCCACAGGATGAAAATGAACAAACTCCAAAGGCTAGGGATGTAGCTCAGTGGTGCCGCTCCTGACTGTAAAACGAACAAACTCCTGCCAGGGACTGTCCCCTAGACTTTGATGTCAGGGTCACTTTTATTTTACATGTTTCATTTTTTGATACAGAGTTTCAATGTATAGTCCAAGATGGCTTTTAGGTATTGTTTTTGAGACAGAGTCTCAGGCTGGCCTTAAACTCATTCCTACCAAGCCTGGCAATCCTACCTCAGCCTTCCTTTTTTTTTTTTTTTTTTTTTTTTTCCCGGGGTGCGAATTGGGGCTTTTCGCTTTAGGGCTGTGGGCTGCGCAGGGCATTTCCTGGAGGCGGGTGTTTGGGGAAGAGCCAGGCTGGATACAGAGCTGGGCAGGGGAGCCATGTGTGGGGGGCCAGCTGAAAAGATTTCAAGGACTGGGGCTAAGCTTCCACCCCAGCTGACCAGTGCTGGCGTGCCAGAGGCCCCTCTGTGGGGTGTCAGCCCCAAAGAGCCACCTTCCTCAAGAAAGCAGGCCTGGGCTCCTGCTCTAGGGAACACAGATAACAGTAATTACTCCCACTGCAGCAAAGCCTGCCTGTTCCTCCCGAGCCTCTTGCCTTCCTTTTTAATAGCAGCTTCCTAGCAAACAAGAAGTGACAGTTTATAGGGGAAAGTGGAACTAACCTGTCACAGTGGAACAGAAATCTTTCAGGTTACCATGGGAAATGGAAAATGACTGGAAGAGTTGTTACATAAGGTTCATCTGTAAGGTTCCTCGGTAGAGAGGCATGGACGCTGGACTTTGCTTGCTCTCCTACTGAGCTAATCTAGGTTTAAAATTTTTTTCGTTTATTTCTTATTTATTTATTTTTTGCCTTTTCAAGGCAGGATCTCCCTGTGTGGCTCAGCCTGGCCTTGAGCGCTTGATAAGCCCAGGCTGGCGGTGAAAGTGCTTGCATGCAGAAGCGTCTGGCTGCAGGAGGCCACCGTGGCAGGCACAGCCGCCTCTGGCAGCTTTGGCTGTGGGCATAGCGGTGCCCGTGCGTCCACTCTGCTCCCTGGCACAGCAGGCCAGCGGACTCCGCGGGGCAGGACGGCACCCTGGGCTCAGCAGCCTCAGGGGAAGTTAGCACGCAGCAGGTCCCAGAGCTTGCCCTCCAGATGCTGAGGGTGAGGAAAAGTAAGATGAGGTGTGGCAGAACGGCCTGCGAGTGCTCATCGCTCTGAAAGCCAGGCTCACATACTGTTAGGAAAAGTAGTGTGGCCCTTCTTCCCTCAGTGACAGCGCCCCTCGCGGTCAGTCCAGGAAGGGTGGAATCTCAGGAGATGCCTGCCTCACAGGACCAGCTGGGAGCTCAGGAACCATACTGAGGAGCAGCCATCCTTCAAATTAATTTATATAAAAACAAGAACACGGTTTTTATTTTTCTGTCGTTGAATTTTTTGATACTCTGACACTGCTAATAACGTGTTAATTATTGGGATGAATGCATAATGTATTTAGAGTAAAGCTCAGTATGTTACGTTTCCTAAAAAAACAAAAACCAAGAGCAGGCTGGGCATGTGGCACCCACTTGTAATCCCAGCACTTTGGAGGCTGAGGAAGGAGGACTGCAGTGAGTCCGAGGCCAGCCTGTGAGCCTGAACTATGTAAGGAGACCTTATCTCAAAAAAAAAAAAAAATTAAAATAGGGCCGGGGATTTAGCTCAGTGATTCCGCCGCCTGCCTTGTAAGCACATGGAACCAAGTCCAGTCTCCGGTACCAAATAATAATAGAAACAGGGCTGGGGATTTAGCTCAGTGGTGATGCCGCCTGCCTCGTGAGTGCAAGGTCCCGAGTTCAATCCCCAGTACCAAAAACAAAACAAAAATAATAGAAACAAGAACAATAAATACTTTAAACTCATGCTTCCTGTTTATCGTGCTGTCTCAGAGTCACTGCTGGGTGTGAGCCCTCCCAGCTTCTCCCGCAGAGGGGTCGCGTAGCTGTCTTGAGATGGTCTGTGGTGGAGGCAGGTGGTCCACCCGTGGCACTGGGCAGCTCCCACATGAGCCTCGAGTTGCTTTTCTGTTGACCATCCGAACAGCCTGGAGCAGAGAAGATGTTGGCGGTGCAGGCTGAGCCGAGAGGGGCCGGGCTGGGGCTCCTGGAGGGCGCTTGTCCGCCTGCCCTGGCCCAGGCTGGAACTCACAGCAGTTCTCCTGCCTTGGCCTCCTGAGTTCTGGGGCTGTGGGCGTGCACCACCTCACCTGGCAGGATATCAGTTCTCTTGGAGTCCAGTTCACATAGGGTAGACTTCACTCCCAGCAGTCAAGGTACAGCGTAAGTCGGGTAGCATTTTCACCATCCATACTTTCTTCCCTCCTTCCACTTAGCACCTGTGTCTCCAGGATGTCACAGGAATGGGGGCCTTGTCGCTCTGCCAAGTGCTCTTCTGCATTCTGTGCAGTGCTCTTGAGAGCAGTCCCTCCCGGTGCTGGTGTGAGCTGCGGCCCCCAGGTCCTGATGGTCGTAAATAAAGCCTTTGCCCACAGCTACACACAAGGTGCGCTGTGTCCTTCCGCTCAGAGGACCCCCGGGGCCAGGGCTGCTGGCTCTTCTTTATACATCCTCTTCCTCTGTCGACTGTTGTTTCCACACTGACTACATTCCCACCTTCCAAGGCTGAGGCTGAGTTGCTTTTTTTTTTCCTTTGGTTTTTTGAGACAGGGTCTCTCTAGTGCAGGCTGGCCTCGAACTCACAGGTATCCTCCTGTATCAGCCTCCTGAGTGCTGAATGACAGGCATGCATCCCTGTGCCTGGCTGATCTGAGTTGCTTTGTATCCTGGGTGGCACTTTTCTCCCATCGGACGGGCACAGTGTGTCCTTCCCACTGTAGTTTGGACTTGGTTTTCCTGATGATGAGATGGTGAGCTTGTCCATGTGTGTTTATTTGCCATCCGAAGGTCTTCAATGAAGTTGTTTTTTTTTTTTTTTTTTTTTTTTTTTTGGTACCGGGGATTGAACTCGGGACCTTGCACTTGTGAGGCAAGCGGCGGTACCACTGAGCTAAATCCCTGGCCTTCATTGAAGTTTTTATTCGTATAATTTGCCCATTTTAAAATTAACTTTGTCTGGCATGGTGGTGCACGCCTGTAATCCCAGCACTTGGGAGGCTGAGGCAGGAGGATCCCTGTGATTTCAAGACCAGCCTGAGCTACCTAGTGAGTTCCAGGTCAGTCTCTACATAGTGAGACCCTGTCTCAAAAAATGTTTTTTAAATAAAATTAAGTTTTAGCCGGTCGTGGTGGCTCATGCCTGTAATCCCAGCACTCAGAAGGCTGAGGCAGGAGGATCGCTGTGAGTTCAAGACCAGCCTGGGCTACATAGTGATTTCCAGGTCAGTCTCAGCTACATAGTGAGACCCTGTCTCAAAAAACCAAAAAATAAATAAATAAATAAATAAAATTAAGTTTTTTCCTCTTTTTGAGTTTTAAGAGTTCTGTTTTCTAAGAAAACACCCTTTCCAGCCAGGCATGGTGGCTCATGCCTGTAATCCCAGCACTCCAGAGGCTGAGGCAGGAGGATCGCTATGAGTTCGAGACCAGCCTGGACTACATAGTGAGTTCCAGGTCAGTCTCAACTACATAGTGAGACCCTGTCTCAAAAAACCAACCAACCAACCAAACAAACAAACAAAAAAAAACACCCTGTCCAGCATGTGTATACTTTCACCTAGTCACTTAGTGAGTTACTGAGACCCTGCCATGAAATAAGAAATCTAAAAAGGATTGGGGATGTAGCTCAGTACAAAGGTCTTAGGACAAATTCCCGCTTTGGCAAAAAAAAGAAAAACAATGGTGGAATTTTATTATATATAGATTTACTTCTAAACATAAGAAAGTGGAGTGAGGACAGAGGGATGGGGGGAACAATAAGAACTTGAATTGATTATGTAAAGGTATGATTTTCCAACAGTGCATGTCATTATAATGTAATAAAAACACCCTGTCCAGCATGTGTATACTTTCACCTAGTCTGTGGCTCGTCTTCCTGTTACCTCGAGGGTGTCTTAGAAGAGCCAAAGATCTTAGCTTTGGTGAAAGCCGGTTATCTATTACTGCCTTGTGTGGTGTGCTTTTGCTCTACCTAGGAAATCTTTGTTTAAGGTTGCGAAAATTTTCTCTTACGGTGACACACCCCTGTAATCCCAGCTGCTTGGGAAGCTGAGGACTGCGAGTTCAGGTCCAGCCTGGGCAGTTTAGCAAGGTGTTAATGAACAAATGAGTGTGTTAGTGGACTGCCCGTGTAGCTCAGTGGCAGTGCCTCTGGGTTCAGTCCCTGGTACCCCCACATGCATGCTTGAATATGCAGACACACAGCTGTTAGGTGTCCTTTTAGAAGCTTTTCTAGTTTCAGATTTTGTGATGCATCTCGAGTAAATTTTTCATTTGTGGTGAAAGGTACAGGCTGAGGTGACCCTCCTCCTCCTCCCACACTGGGATGTAGGGTCATTCCAGCACCATTTGTTGAGCGTAGTACGATGATGTTAATATTCATTGTTATTCTTTTAACTTGGAAATTCCCTGGGTACGTTCAGGTTTTTAAAAAATGCAGATTGTTAATTGTATAATAAACACCACAGCCTCTCATTAATCCATGCGTTTCCTTCAAGGCCTCAAGATTCTGCCCTCCAAGAAAATCTCACCATGATTGGATTGGACCCCCCGATAGACATTCAAACCTCCGCCCTGTGCACTTCTTTGTCCCTGAAAACGAATCATCATTGGAGCAAAAGCTCAGGGAACTGAGACAAGAAACACAAGAATGGAACCAGCAGTTCTGGGCGAACCAGAATTTGACTTTCAGTAAGGTAAGCGTGGTTTCATAACAGACCGAGAAGTAACTTACTTGGCCCCGTGGCGGTGCTGAGTCTTGGTGCCTGTGTAGATGTATGTGTACACTCTTGCAGAAGGGTTTTGGGGTTTTGGGAGAGGGGCTGCTTGTTTGTTTTTTTGAGACAGGGTCTTGCTTTGTAACTCAGGATGGTCTTGAACTCACTATGGAGCCCAGACTGGCCTCAAACTTAAGACGAGCCTCCTGCCTCAGCCTCCAAGTGCTGGGGTATGTAGAAGTTTTAAAACCAACATGTGCCTGATATGATAGGGTGGCGCATGCCTGTAATCCTAGCACTTGGGAGGCTGAGGCAGGAGGATCACTGAGAGTTGGAGCCTAGCCTATGCACTTGGTGAGTTCAAGCCAGCCTGAACTATATAGTGATACCTTGTTTCAAAAACCCAAACAAAAACCAATGTGTAACTATATATGAGAAGTAAAGCCTTTTTATTTTGGAGGGGCTCATTTATTTATTTATTTATTTATTTAGGTTTTTTGAGACAGGGTCTCACTTTGTAGTTGAGACTGACCTGGGACTCACTATGTAGCCCAGGCTGGTCTCGAACTCACAGTGATCCTCCTGCCTCAGCTTTCTGAGTGCTGGGATTACAGGCGTGTGCCACCATGCCCGGCTCTTTTGTTTTTTGAGACATGGTCTCATTATATAGTTCAGGCTGGCCTTGAACTCATGGTGATCCTCCTGCCTCAGCCTCCCGAGTGCTGGGATTACAGCGGTGTGCCACCATGCCCGGCCCACACATGAAATTTAACCAAATTAAGATGCTTTTAAGCATCTTTGAGATGGGCAGCTTCTCGGGAAATGCACAGCCGCCTTCTCCTGACTGGGAGAGGTGGGAGGCGGAGCTGCAGCCCTGACAGTCTCTTCTTTCAGGAGAAGGAAGACTTCATCCACTCAAGACTGCAAGGCCGAAGCCTGGGCCTGGGGGTGGAATCAGGTCAGTGCATCGGGTATTTCTGGCTACCACTGTTGGGACCTGAACAGGAGGCTGGAAGGAATGTTGAAAGCTTTTGCAAATAAGAAGGGGAAGGGGTGGAAAGAAGGGTAGGGAAATGGGAAATAGAAACATGATCTGTCGTGTATAGGTACAGAGTCCCTGTGAGGAATGTGATCATTATTTATATCTAAAATGTTCCAAGCTGGGCGTGGTGGCACATGCCTGTAGTCCTGGCACTTGGGAGTCTGAGTCAGGAGGATCACTCTGAGTTCAAAACCAGCCTGGACCACATAGTGAGTTCCAGGTCAGTCTCAACTACATAGTGAGACTCTGTCTCAAAAAACCAAAAAAAAAAAAAAAGTTCCAGTAACAAAAACTAAGAAAAAAGAAGGGATGTTCAGTGGGGCAGCAGTTTTGGGCGTCTTGCCCCACCTCCTGACATCCTCCTGTCTCTCTTGCCTCCAGAGCCTCACTTCCTTTGCTTTGCTCTGCATCCTTGTGTCTCTCCTGGTGGTGACCCCTGAGGTCCGGAGCCCGTGCTGCATGTCCCCTCACGTAGCAGCCGCTCCCCCCGGGCTTCTCAGGTCATAGGCTGAGCCAGCAGAGGGTCACCACCCGCATCCTCCCTCTCCTCCAGGGTGACTTCAGAACATTCCTCGGCACCTTTGCTGTTTGCTTTCTGTCTTTAAACACTGATGAAATTCGGTCCCTCATTTTCCCCCCAGTTTCTAGCCCCCCTCCATTGTACCTGTGGCTTCCCCCTGAACTACATCCTCAGCTCTTATTTTTGGTCTGAGAAAGGGACTATGTAGTCCGGGCCACCATCCTGCCTCAGCCTCTGAAGTAATAGGATTACAGGCATGCACCATTGTGCCCAGGGGCTCACTGAGTTGCCCAGAGTGGTCTCAAACTCTAGCCTCAGCTTCCAGAGTAGCTGGAGACCCAGGGATGTGGCATCATGCCTGCTGGCTTCAGTGCTGCATCAGAGGCCAGTACCCTTGTTCTCTGCAGAGCTAGATGAGGGCTAGTATGGTGGGCCATATGGGGAGTCTGTTGGAATTGCTCAACTCTGCTGTCAAGTAAAATGTAAACAATGGCCTTGGGTGTGTTCCAGTAAAACTATTTACAAAAACAGGCATTGGGCCAGATTTGACCCGTGGTGTGGTTTCTCAGCCCCCTGCTCTAAATCCAGTCTGCATGAGACCAGACTGTTGTACCCCAAATACAGCTCTGTCAGGTACTGCTCTGTGCGGGTTCTGAGACTTTGTGGCCATAGAGCGATGGTGCCTGTGCTCCTCTGGACAGGAGGCCCGTCTGGCCCAGCCCTGCCCACTGTACCCCTCTTCTCCCCATGCCAGGGAGGCCTGCTGTCTCAGACCCTTCTGTCTACTATTCTGCCATTTCTTTTGGGCTAGAAAGTCCAGTGCTCAGTAGCCTTTGGCCATTTTCTCCTGGATTTGATGTTGGGCCTTAGATAGAGCAACGTATGCTTCACGTTATTCCGGTGGGAAACCCAGAACCATTGACCCCAAAAGCCAAGTTTGTCATTAGACTGACATTTTCATCTCTGATTAATCCCTAGGCTGGCCTGGGTTCGTTGGGACGGGGGAGCAGGAGTACCCTGGATGCACCCCCACCTTGCCTGCTGTGCCTTTAGGGGCCTGGGAGGGCTGGAAGGAGAGGGGCTGCATCCAGCTGTGAGCACAGGGTGGTGGCTTGTTTGGGTCCTGACCCTCTGCCCTGCACAGTGACAGAAGGAGGAGGGACCCGGGGATGACGGGCAGGTGCCCCAGCCAGTAAGGACCTGGGACAGTCTGCACCGGTCCCCAGCTGGCTGCATGTGTGCACATGTGTGTGTGTGTGTGTCTGGAGATAGCCCACTCACCTAACAGATGGGTGTGGTGGTTTTGAGAATCCAGTGGTGGCCCTGCTGAGTATTGAGAAGCAGGCCTTAAATCAGATTTTCATTGACTTTGGTGACTAAGGAGGCAGGAGGAGAGGGAGCCTGGAGGAAGGCTGGGGAGCTGGGGTCACAGGACCCAAGTGGACGGGAGAGGAGGAGCCTTGTGGTGGACACAGTTAACAATGTGTGGTTGTCTTGGAAACTGCTAAATACGGATGGCAAACATTCTTGCCACAGAAGTGAGCTTGTTAGCTACCTAGATTTAGTTGTTCTGCAGTGTACCTGAGCTTCAAAACATCTGTCGTACGAGGTAAACAGTTGCATTGACACTGCAATGAGAAAAGTCTCAGGGCTGCAGAAATTAATATTTTTAGGCATTATTTATGGATGAAGGAATGAAATACATCACTCCTAGTTGTAGAAAGTACAAGAATGAAACTGACTGTTCTCTGGAGAAAGGATAATTCCCTAAGCTCAACAGGAAATTCAGGAGCATGTGCTCATGGGCTTTCCCTGCTGTAACCAAACATGAGATGTGAGGTGTTAAGAGCAAGTGGGACTGGGGCGCCCGTGCCTCCCCCGGCCTGGAGTTGGATGGCATTGGCTGTGGCCTCAGGGCCGGAGTGGTAGGGAAGGACAGGCCGTGCCCCGGGACCCGAGGCTCTGCCCTGCCCAGGGCTGCCTCGTGGGGACAGCCGGGGCTCTGGAGGACACTGCAGATGGGCGCTGAGAGCACCCTGGCGGCCCTGGACAGCAGGGCCAGGGCGATCGTAGCTCTTCTCCAGGTTAAACTGCTGCTCCCTGGTCGCCCTTCTGTAGGCAGGCTCCCTAACATGCCCCGGCAGGGCAGAGGGCAGAGGGCAGAGGGTCTTCTGAGGAGGGTGGGAGCCCAGCCGGTGCCGTGGAGACGCTGGCTGACGGCCTAGAGGGCCAGGCAGGCCGGAAACAGCGCGTCACAGCAGCAGATGGGCAGTGCTTCTCGGGCTGCGGCCCTGCGCCTGTCCACTTGGGGGCGCCACTGGGAGGGGAGCCATTCGATTTCACCGTGCGTCCTCGGCAAAGAGGCATCCTTTCTGCTTCCTTCTGAGAATCGGGATGACCCCAGTGGCTGTGGCTGCCTCTTCTGTGGCTGAGCCGCGCCGGCTTCCTGCACTCCGACCAGTGTCCCGTCACCAGGCACTCGCCGGGTGGCCCCGGAGAGCTCTGCAGCGGGTAGAGAAGCTGCTGGTTTAATTTAACACGTGAAAAACAAAATTCCTTGACTTCAATTCTGCCTGACCCCAAAGTAAATGTCACTTGTAGGGCAGGCTGGACAGTGGGAGAGTGAATTCCTTCTTCTCCTTTTGTTTATTGCTCAAATGTTTGTGCATCTGGGAAAGAGGCCACCATCCTGGAAGATGCACTTCACCAGCTTTGTATTTGAAACACCCATGAAAGGATGCAGTGAATCACACTGCACTGCCTCTCCTCCCTCTCTCCTAGCCCCTCCCTCTCCTCTCCCCTCGCCTCTCCCTCTCCTCTCCCTCTCTCCTCCTCCCTCCTGTTTGCTCTGTGTTCTGTAATGAGTCTCAGTGTTGATGGACATGGGGCAGGGTGACCACCTCAAACATTTGTGGGGTTCCTGGTTTCTGCTGAGCACTGGTCTGAGGTCTTGGGCAGGGTGGCCCAGAGCTGTCCTGAGAGCTCTGCCCGCCTCAACCAGTCCCTTGTTTGCCCAGATCACGGCTGGTGCCTCCCGACAGCGCCTGGCCTGGTGAGGCTGCTGGTGTGGTCACATGCTCAAGATGAGGAAACAGCCAGAAAGTCATGAGTCAGGCCACAAGGCCAGCAGGGGACAGAGCCTGACCCTCTCCAGCCAGTGGGACAGCTCTTACAGTGGCTGCCTCAGAGGAGCAGCTTCTCTACTTCTTCAGTCCCCCCAAGGCCATGAAGGCCGAGATGCCAGGAGGCTGATGCAGGACGCAGCTGTCCCCAGAACCCCCTGGAGACCACACCTTGATAGCTGGCTCTCACGCCCTCTGGTCTGGCCCCACTGTGCCTGACTGCTCCGTGGCCTGGAGTGGCCCCTCGACAGGGCCCTGTCCCCCTTCCTCTGGGAGCCCCTCAGGCCACTAGGCACACCCCTCCTCTGCCTGACACTTATCCGAGGTCCCCGTGCCAGGCATGATGCTTGTCCTAGGGACCAGGTGGCTGGTAGAGCTTCAGCAAGGGTGGAACCTGCACCCAAATGGACTCACAGGAGCACAGGGTGTAGACCCTGGGGAAGTGGCTGGACCACAGGGAGGAGAGGGAGGCTGGCAGGGGGAGGGTGAGCACATGGTGGGGACTGGCCACTGAGCCACGACACCCTCAGGCATGGGTAAGAGCTCTCACACAGTGGCAGTGGCAGTGATGTGTGGGCACCAGTGCCCACATCAGGAGGCCCAGCAGGTAGTGAGGTCCCTGCATGGCTGGCCAGAGAAGGCTGGGGATGCAGCATTGTGGCTTGGGCTGAGTGACTGGGACTTGGACGAGTCTGAGAGCAGCCAGGTCCCTGAGCAGTGTCTCAGGGGACAACCCTGTGCCCTGCATGCTGTGGGGCGCACTTGGGCAATCCCAGCTCTGCCCGATTCAACTCCATTAAGCTGCTGAAGGGGTTTTGCAGCCCAGGTGTGGATTCCTATCCTACTGGGCTCAGCCACACCACTCCCTCAACCCTGAGGTGGCCTGACATCACCTGGAGCCTTTCCTGCATGCCAGGCTGAACCTGACAGTGGGCACCACAGCCCCATTGGAGCCCCCAGGCAGGTCACGCCCTATTCCCCAGGCAGCTTTACCACCACACCACACACACCACACACACCCCACACACACACACACACACACACACACACACACACAC